CTCCTCTTCCTCCTCCTTCTGCTCTTCTTCCTCCTCCTCCTCCTCCTTCTGTTCTTCTTCCTCCTCCTCCTCCTCCTCTTCCTCCTCCTTTTTCTCTTTCTACTTGGGAGTTGAGCTTGAGCTCAGTGCCTCATGCATGCTGGACAATAGTTATAACACAGAGCTACACATACAGATCCTTTCTAACCTTTTTAAAGGAAAAAATTCCTCCTAACCCCAGCTGACCATGCTCTGATATTCCTAGGTAGGTTAGAGACTTCATCGGCATGGGCAAGTGTTTATATACAGACAAACTCAGATGTGGGATTAGAAGTAGGATCAAATTCAAAAGGCTCAGACTTTACATTCATTATGTCAGCATTTTGGAGACACTTGGTGACATAAGCAGAAGGTTATTCCTGGGTCTGTGTTGTGATTAAAACAAGAAACTGGGATCAAATTTACTCCAAATTTGCACCCTGAGTCTTCACTCTCACTGGTACCATGTTTATGCATGATCTTTCTCTAACCCACATCCCACCAAGGAACAGGTCACATGCTTTGAGAGAAGCTGGGATGAAGCTCAAACTTCCAGAAAGTCCACAGTGTTGTTGAGGCCTGGGATCTCACTCCTTCTGAAGCCTGGAAATTCTCATTCTGGAGTTTCTATAAGAACCATTGGTTGTAAGTGTTGACACTCACCACTATGTCTGTACCCATTCAGTCCTGCACAGGGAGGAGCACCTCAGAGGTACTGCATGGATCAATAGAGGTTAGTTTCTCATAGAAGAGTAATGAGGTGCCTCTCATCCAAAGACCAGACACTCAGGGAATCTCACCTCTTTGCATCTCTAATTTTAAGAGTACATGTGTTCCTTGGTTAATGGCACAGGGATGTTGGAGAAAAGGGTCCACAGAGATCCTCCATGCTGCCCTCCTCAGGGTTCAATATCATCTACTTCTGCATTCAGGGCTCCTAAAACTTCACAGAGACAATTCTAACCTCTCCCAGAGACACCACCTCTTTTGGCAGAGAACACTTGGCATAACAAATGTGCCTCTGCTTTCTTCTTGAGCACCTGGGAATAATACCTTTTGGATGCTCAGCCTTTAGCATGAAGCCTGGTAAAATTTCTCCACACTCTGGAGCCTCAGAATACTTATTTTGGAAATTTCTCCAGCGCAAAGGAAAACAGGCTGTGGGTTTGGATGAAAGAACCACTGCTGCCTGATTAGAGATCAGAGTACAAACCATCTGTAGGGATTGAATTTATCCACATTCCCAGACAGTTTTCAGCATGGTGGGATATCCCATTTCTCACACTACTTCTGGGTTTAGTTGCTTCATGGAGTACAAACCACCTTGATCCTAGTGGTAGCTTGGTAAAGTGAATTCTCAGGAAGGGGTCATCCCCACAATAGTGTCCTTCACATGGGTGAGGCTGCCCCATAACTGCCCCTTGTGAGTGGTCCAGATAGGTCTGGCAGAGTCTTGAGCTGCAGGAGGAAAATGCACAACAGTGTTGGGACTTCCAGTCAGCTCTCTCACCCACTATGGGTGTGGCCACCTCCTTGCCATCCTCTGCTCAGCACATTGTCAAGGGGCCCTGATCTGCAACTGCTGGTTTCACACACTTCCTCGCTTTCCCACTCAGCCCCCATCCCCATCTCTGGGCCTGTCCCTAACCTATCCCAACAGGCCCGCTCAGGCTCCTTGGTACTTGGCACCATCATTCAAGCCTAGGAGAATCCAGCAAAGGGTCTCATGCACTGTGAGAGGATTCTTTGCACTATCCCTGCCAGGTCCTGTGCAAAACAGGGAAGACTGTGGGCATCAGTAGAAAAGTCTCCCATTCTCAAAGATCTCACACTGCAGGTGGCATAAAGAAAGTATCCATGCAAGGAGAGGTCATAGAAGGAGAGGAAGGAGAGAGACCTACAGCTGTGATCAAACCATAAAATATCCAGCCTGCCTGTGGCTGGGGTCAGGAATGGAGGAAGCAACCGAAAGTCACCTAACCCTCCAGATAAATGTAGATTGTCCACAAATCAGTTCTTGTGAAAGCAGATGAGTGATGAACACACTGTCTCTGGTAACTCTCTTTTCTACCATTCCTGAGTGCTGTGCACCCCTGTGTCAGCCCTGATCCACTCTGCAGACAGGTGTCCTGTCAGGCTCAGGGTACTCTTGCTCTTGTTGTCATCTCCACCAGTGTTTTCCTCTCTGCCATCTTTCCTCTGACAGTCTCAGGCTCTTCCTCTACATAGTTGACAGGTCGAGGCATGGTCCCTGTCACATCCACCAGTGCCTCACCCTCAGGATCCTGAGCCCCAGAATGAGAAGCAGGTGTCTTCAGCTGTGCAGCGTGTATACCCAAACCTGTGGTCATGGTCGGCTCACAGGCCAGTTTCTACACTGCTGCTTAGTAAGTTGCTCTCCCAGCAGGCAGCCCAGCAACACCTTGCCTAGGCTGGAGTTTGGACCTGGCAGGGATTCAGGGGATAGCTGGGTGGGCAGGGCGAGGGGGTGCTGCCAGGAAGTGACACTGAGTGAGCAGCAGTCCCTGGAAACGAACGGCCAGCAAGCAGGGAGTGACGGCCTCCTCTCTGCTATGGCTATATTTGGCTCCTTCCCACTGCACCAGGTGACTTCTGCAGGACCTGTGTGCTACCAGAAACCCTCTCCTCAAACCTAGATGTTATGCCCACTCACTTTCCAGTTACAGAGCCACAGAGAGTGTTGGAGGTGAAGAGCAGGGAGCTAGAAACTTGAAACGTGGGAGGACTCTCTGAGGAGGTACAGAAGTGTTTCAGTAACTTTCCCAGTAACAATACCTGACACTCACAAGGAGGAGATGTTTATTTTGACTCACCATTTCAGAAGTTTCAGTCCAAGTTCAGGTGGCTCCAATGCAGAAGCAGCCTGATAGAAGGGCCTGGGCAGAGGAAAGCTGCTCACATAATTGGGCCAAAAAGCAGGAAGAGTAGGGAAGAGCCCAGGAGGGTTCAGGTCATGCTTCCAGTGACCCACCTCCTCTGGCCACACTCATGTTCCTAGTAGCAAGTCAGCTCTGGGGGCCCCATGATCCAACAACTTTTTAAACACCTGAGGCTTTTGCAGGCGAGGGGGAATACCCTAGATCAAAAACATAACAAGGAGCATCTCTACAGATGGAGAATTGGGTTGAACTTTGTTGGAGCTCAGGGCAACAGCTTGAGATAAGGAGAAGTGTGACTGTAACATCCACACTCTGCACAGGTGGCAGGCCCACCGTGGCAAGCTGTGTCTCATAATACACTGGGTCCCTTTTAAAGTCCCTCATTCCCTTATGGTCCTGCTGTATCTTTGTGGAGCACTCTGTATTTTATCATGGATGTTTTATTGAAAAAAAACTGGAGATTCTATCACTTCTGAGGGACTTACCATCCTACTCACTCACCCCTCTGCTCACCCCCACCTGTGGCTTCCATCTATTCCAAAAGATGGAGGATACTTTTAGTTATTCATTTGATAATTATTTGATAGAATATGTTGGTTCCAGTGCTGTGGACTTGGCTAGACTCTGCCAGGACTATGGTATCTCCAGGAGATAGGTTCATATCCAGGAGATTCTGATATGGAGATTCCAACCAGCATACAGCAAAGAGAGAAGGAGGCAGTAGTCTCACTTCTCGGAGGAAGTGGTTTGGGCTCAACATCACACAGCCTCTGGTGCTCATTGATCACCAGCTATGGCCTCTCTATATAACCTACAATGGCCTTGGGCTTATCCAAGCGGCCCATGTTGGCACTTTCTAGGAGGGACCATATTCTGGGTCAGTTGGAGTGGTCAGCACAGAGCAAGGGACAGGGATTCATGACTTCCACCCAATGAACAAGACCAGTTGTAGATTCAATGGCCCCCATCCAACTCCTGCTGATCTAATCTATTGGTCCCACCTCCTGGATGATCAGACACTGTCTCTGTCCTTAAGTCTCTTTACTAATTCGTAGCTGTGGGCTATGAGTGCTGAAAGATTCCCAGCTCCTCCCAGCTCAGAGTCAGGGTATAAACTGCTAGATGTTAGCCAGACAACACAGTACTCTTTGTTAATCTCTGGGCTGCTGTCCATGACTGCTGGAGTGAAAGTCCCCAAATGCTCCCCAAGCACTGCATCATTTTAATAAACCCTTGACATTGATGATGGTCAAAGTAATAGGAAAAATGGAGAATGAAGAAGAGTCTCAGGAGCATGGGTGTTTTGAAAACTTACATATATATATAATGATGATCAAAAAGAGAGACACAGAGAGCCAGAGGAAGGTGCAAGCACAAGCAAAAAAAAAAAAAAAAGGAAAAAAATCCAGGGAAACATGAACAATGTGATATCACTTCTCATCCATTCAAATAGAATCTAATTTATGCCCCATCATGTATGGCTGGTGGGGATGCAAAATGGTGCAGCCATTGTGGAAGAGAGCTTAGATTTTCTTTAAAAGATAAACACACATTTGTCACATGACTCAGCAATTTCCCCCTCAAGTCTTTACCCCAAAGGAAATGAGAGTATGTGTATATGTGAAAACACATTTGAAAATGTTCAGAACAGCTTTATTAAAAATAGTCAAACAAGCAGTCACTGACTGAGATGTGCTTAGGCTAGGGAGTGAGCACGTGCGGTGTCTCTGTACACAGAGCACTGCCCCATAATAAAAGGAAGGAAGCATAGCTTGAATCGCAAAAATAAGCTATCACAAAACAGTCCATTTGTGTGACATTCTAGCCTGAGCAATGTACAGCAACAGAAAGCAGTTAGGAGGTTTCCAGGGAGCAGAGTAGAGGGCAATAATACCTCTAAAAGGGAATGAGGAGAGTTCTTTTGCAGTAAAAAATACACCTTGAATGCGATGTGCTGGTGGTTGGACTTCTAAGATATTCACTTGTGTTTAGAAAACTATGCAGCTAAAACAGGTAAACTTATTCCTATGTAAATTATTTCACAATATAGTTCTTAAAAAATAAGGTAACTACTAAAATCTAAGAAATACCAAAGGATCCCATATTGAAGGAGTGTTCTGTACACCAACAGAACTTAAAACCACGTACAGGCATATTTATAGCAGGAGCTCAACCAAACTTTTTAGGATTCAGTGGAAATATGCGCCAGTCAGGGTGCACTGAAAGGAAGGTCTCTACCCTCCGCCAAGTTCCTCAGGCCAGGATTAACATCATCTTTGTCTGCCACCTGGAGCTCAGATTGGGTAATGCAGGCATCTTCGTCTTGTATCCAAAATTCAGGAAACCATGTTTTTCAGCTTAAATTCAATGAATGATGAGGAGGTGGACTTTCTCCCTGAAAACTAGGTGCTCTCTTAGGACCAGTGAGGGGGAGGTAGAGGAATTGGAAGAATGGGGCACCCAGGGTTGGGATAAATGATGGAGCTTTTTAATGACAAAGAGAAAATACTTTGGGGGAACAAAGAGATAGATTGACCACAGTATGGCACCTTTGTACAAGTAGATGAAAATGCATGACAGATCTTTATTGGGGGAGTTAAAAAAAGTTTAGGGGTTACAATGAGGTGAGAAAGAAAATTAATCACATTATGACAAAAAAAGGTGAGGATCATCATGCAGTAAGGATAATGCAAAGGGAATTCCAAAATGCAGGAGGACAACGCCCTGGATGGAAAGACTCTCAGGAGATAGGGGACAGGACTATTTTCTGCTAGACATGTGTGGATCTTCTAAACCCCAATCCCACATGAAAGAAATATCTTGCAGATCAACCTCTTTGCAGATCCACAATAGTCATGAGGATCATGCAGCTATGGCCCTCACAGTATGTGCAGACTCAATGAAAATAATAACAGACTTAAGTGTAAAGGCCACCGACGACCTGCCTGGTTCTCCTGGGCAGCCCCTAACTGGTGAGGCAGCGTCTCTGTCCAGAACTTCAGCCTAGAGGCCTTCAGAGCACGACCCACAGAAGGCGAGATGTTCAGCTGCAGGTACTGCTCCTCAAGGTCCAATGGAGGCCAGTAGGGCAGGTCCTTACCATTGGGATTTCTGTGGACACACCCTCCCAGAAGCAGGGAGAAGTCAGTCTGATACCTGTATGGTGCACACCTTAGTGCCTGATTTTGGTTAAGCTAGGCAGCTAAGCAGGTCTGTGGACTACTGATGAGGAAGATTCCAGGTATAGGAAAGAGGCTACTTCCCGCTGGTATCCCCTTTCAGAAAGCAGGTCATCTGGACCTGTTTCCTCCCTTTCTCTCAGAAGGCTTAACTGAAACACATCACTGTGACCCAACCTCCAGGTCAACAGGAAGGAAATGAATGACTTGTACCGACAAGACTACTCCTCTCTATGTCCACGTAATGTCCTGGCATTGGGAGGCTGTTATCATATAATTTAGGACAATATATACTAATGAGGTCAACATGGACACAAGAAGTCCCTGATAGGTTCAAGTGTCCAGAAGAGGTTGAGGTAGGGACATCATCTCACCCATTTCTGGCAAAGTTGGCCCAATACTTCATCATCCTCCTGCTTAGCAGCTTCTCCTCCTCAGTGAAGTTAACTGCAGAGAGGAAGAGGACAGGAGTCTAATGTCTGGTTGACACTTACCTTGCTTCTCCTTGTGCACCACACTCATCACCCAGCTGCAGCCTGATAATTTTACCCCAAGTCCAGTTCCTACCTTCCCCCCTATACCCTGGAGCAGGTCCTCCACTTGCCCAACCTGTTCTTCCTCATCGCAGCATCTAGCTGAAATGATCCTAAGGTCATTCCTGCCCCAGACATCCCCTTCTTCTGACACAGGAAAGCCATTCAAAAAATAAATGTGTCTCTGAGACACCTCCACTCCCCTCCACCTATGCTGGACACCATGGTCAGGTGGGGAGAATAGGAAGAAAGAATACAAGTTGGAGTGAAAGGGTTTCCATTTTAATCCAAGCATAAGCTTTTGAGTTCTAAGATGGTGGACATGGTCCTGTCCCCTCTCTGAGCCTCAGCTTTCTCATCTAGACAGCGAGCGCAGTCACTCCTCAGGGACACAAGCAGAGTCTACCATTATTTATGGAATTTGGGGAATAATTACCTTGGCTAAGCCTGAAGGAAGATCCAAAGACAAACGGTATCTCATCACCATGGTCAGCCTTCACATAGGATGGCCTTCTGTTTATGGAAAAGGTGGGAGGATGCTGGAACTCATAGAAATAGACCGTGCCATGAGAACCTGAGGATGTGGAGAGGTTGTGATTTGGCAATTCCTTACCTGGAGCTCTGCCTCACACCTTGTCATAAATAACCTGGGTCCAAAACTTGGACCTGTTTGGAATCTGCATAGTAGGGTGCAGAATCCCAGACTGAAGCAGAGGCGGTGGAAAGGGCCTTGAATAGGTGATGATCTTGAGCTTCCCAGCTGCATAATTTGGACATGGCAGTGTGTATAATTCCCCTCGGTTTCTTCACCTGTACAATTATTATAGACAGCTAAGTTAGATAGAAACTAATAGGCAGTCTGAGAGGTATTGGGCTCTCAAGAGAGTCAGGTAGAAGATGAAATACATCAAAATTGTGGCTGGAACAGCCTGGTACACTTGCTGCAGGCAGGACTGGCAGCCCAACGATGGGGAAAAGTCTGAAAGCATTGTGAGAATACAAGATACTCTTTCTCAAGGAGCCATGCAGAACCAGTGGTTAGTGAGTGAGATGAAACAGGGCTGTGCCCCAGCACAAAAATGTGGAGCAAAAGCACACAGAAAGGGCCACCATTTTATTTCAAAGGACTTGGGCTGAACTCCAGCATTAGAACAGTCCCAGGTCACTTCACTGCCAATGTCCCAGAGTGGAATGAAGGAAGAACCATCCAGTCACAGTATACTGCCAGCAAGTGGGAAGCAGATTAGAGGGAATTCTGTTTGGAAGTAGGAACTGGGACCAGCTATACTCTGCCCTGGTGACCACCAAAAGCCAATCTAAGCCCCAAATACATAGCACTGGAAGTGTCCCCCTGGTCTGCAACCAGCAGAGTGGCTTTTGTACAGATAGCATAAGCAGGGAAGCAGTCTTGGCCTGCAGCAGTGAGACGAAGGAACAGCCCCACCTAACAACCAGTGTGTAAGAGGGGTCACTGGTATGGAACAGACGAAGCTATGCAAGATCTGGATAAAGCTAAATGTACACAGGTCTGGAAGCAAACCTGAGCTTTCCTTATCAGAGGGCACCATTGAAACTGGGAAAGTTCCATAGAGACAATCACAGGAAGGAGAAGTAAACACTCAGAACGTTGTCAGTTTAAAAACAGTTCCAGCCCCCACATCCAGAGGCCAAGATCAGCCCCACACCCAGCACAAATCCTATTGAAAACTTGGCGGGATTACACAAGTCTGATTTCTGGGCTCAGACTTGGACACGTTTCCACAGAACTGTGGACATTAGAGGAATTTTGTTATTTTTCTTTTTTGATTGGTTTTCTGTCTGGTTGGGGTTTATTTGCTTGTTTCTTTTTTTTTAGTTCCCCCCCGCCACTATTTAGGTTTTTTTACCTTTCTTTTTGTTTTTGTTTAATTTTCTTCTTTCTCTCATGAATTGTCACTCTTGATTTTATGATATTTTTATTGGAGTGAACATTTGCTTCTTCTTTTTCTGGTTTGCTTCAATATTCTTTTGCTTTCACTTTCATTCTTATTTTACTGTGTTCTGCAGTTTTCCAAAACTTGGGTGATCATCCTTTGCCCTCTAGCCTTGATTCTACTATATTTGTCCTCATTCATCTCTCTGTTATGTACCCTATCCCTCTTAAATCCACCCCCTCACAGGATAAAATCACTCTACTAAGGGAGAAGTAATTGCATACAAGTTTCTGGTATATGTTGGAATTTGGTATATAACTGTAGAACTTGCTTCTATAGTTAAAGATATCAAGTTAACAGTTACCACACTTTGTCAGTAGCTAAGCTGTGCTTGACACTATTGTTATTGCTAATTGTACTACTGTAGCCAGGATGTCACAACTATTATAACCAGTTTTTCTGCCTTGTATGACAACACTGTAATTGCCTGGGGTCATAACCATCACCATAGTCCAGTACCAAAGGACTGAGTACTGAGCCAAACAGATTGCAACTTCTCATCCTTAATAAATTGGGAAGGTAGGTTCTTGGGATAGGCACAAAGACCAAGAATCACCTATACCTAGAAGACATTCCTGAGGAATAGACATTTCCTAGGGAGGCCTCAATATTAATGATAAAGCTATTTACATTAAATATCAACACAGAAAACAAAATAAAATAGAAAATGACAAGATGCAGAAGCAAAATGCAACCCCAGACCTCCAGCCCACCCAGGAAAAGTCCAGAGCACAATGTGATAGAAGAAATTGGGAGCCACCCACTGGAACTTTCTGAGATGATAGCAGCAGAAGTGAAAAAAAAAAACCAAACAAATGGGTGAAGCTATAGAAAAAATAATCTCTCAGGTAAAAAAGAAATGATGATCAAAATGAAAGACATTAGAGCAGACAAAGAATAAAAAAATAGAGGAGTTTAGGAAAGTGATGGAAAATATGAATGCCCAACACAGGAAAGAAATGGAATCCATGAAACAGATACAAAGAGAAATCTGGGAGATTAAAAAGTGCATGCAACAGACTGAATGAAGGCACAGAGAGAATATCAGATCTAGAAGGCAAGACTGTGACTAGTGACCATGAAAAGAAAGATATCTTAAAATAGCAAGAGGCCATGAAAAATCAACCCAACAGCTCCAAGGTCAAGCAAAGAAGAACAACAAAAGATTAACTGGAGTCAATGAGAAAGCCAGAGATGGTTCAAATGCCATGATAAAATTTTTCACAGAACTAATGGTAGAAAACTTCCAAAACTTGGATAAAGAATTTTACATACAAATAAGTGAAGCATATAGAACTCTAAATAATGGTGAACAAAATAAATGTACACCAAGACATATAACAATCAAGATTCCAGAAATTTAACATGAGAAGAGAATAATAAAAGCAGTTAGAGAAAACATATCACCTATAAAGAAAAGCCCATCAGAATCACAACTGACTTCTCAATATGAACCCTCAAATCAAGGAGAGCTTGGAGTGAGGTATTTCAAACTTTAAGAGAAAAACCACCTCCAACCCAGATGGAGGTATCCTGCAAAACTACAAAATCAATGGTAAAATAAGATATTTTCATGACAAAGAACAACTGAAGAAATTCGTAATCACCAAACCAGCTCTCTGAAATGCGCTGAAGGATATTTTAGAAAGATATAACAAGGACTACAGGCACAAAAACACCAGTGGAAAGAAGCCACGAGGCAGAGCAAGCACTTAAACAGAGGGGAAAGGCAGGGAACAAACAATAGGAAAATAATATGCTAAGGATAAACCCATACATATCAGTTATAACCATCAATATACATGGTCTTAATTCACCGATCAAAAGAAACAGACTGGCAGAACGGATCAAGAAATAAGACCCAACATTCTCCAAAATAGATCATATATTGGCTGACAACAGGTTTAAGTAAATGTAGAGGACTGAAATCATCACATGCATACTATCTGACCATAATGCAATGAAACTAGAAATCAACAACAAAGGAAACCACAAAACTACATTAACACATGGAAATTAAACAACACCCTTCT